TCTTTGCTTGAGTAAACACACATTATCCTTTTTTTTCCAACCCCCTTTCCTTTTTTCTCTTCCTCTTTTATACTTATTTTTTTATTTTTTTTTAAATCAAACCTGCCTTTTGCAGGGCTGATGGAGTAGATTGTTATTTCTTTATTTGTCCTATTAAATGGAATTCCTGATCGTTTAATCCTGCTTTTGTAAGTGATTCAAAAATACTTGAAAAGCCGTGAATGCAGCAGCACTTCTGGCTAAACTGCTTAAAAGGGACGAGTTATACCTGGGTTTGTGTGGAGCGGGCGAAATTCCTGCCTCCCGACAGCCAGCTGGGCTTGTGTCCGCGCGGCGGATGCCACCCGTGCTGGGGACAAGGGCTTTGTGTCCCCGTCTGGATGGACGAGTTTCCTTCCATGCGGAGCAGCGTTGCCGGCCCTGGGTTTGAGCATCTGCGTGGCGGTCGCCTGTCTCTTAGCCTAACGTGTCCATTTCCAATGCCACCATCACGCTGCCAACCCAGCGCGGGTGGCACGGGGCCCTCAGTGGCCCTCGGTTTGCTCTTGTCTCGTGTAGAACCTAAGGTTATTGGGTTGTGCTGAATGTTTTGAGCTATGTTTCAAAGCCCACTTAGTGGTAGACGTGACCTCTTTTTTCCTGCCAGTGTACAAAGTGATATAAACCCTTGACACCCCATCATGGAGGCAGCTGAATGAGGCGAGCAGAGGGAAGTGCTTATTTGGGCCGTATGCAGCACACAGTTGACATGACAGGAGGAAGAAGATACTTTTGCTGTCGTGAAGTCATTTTCTCCTTTGCAAAGATGTCACGGGGGTCAGTGCCGATGCGCGCGCTGCCGCGTGAGGCCCGATCCCTGGAGGAGCATGTCCTGCTCCCACTGCTCCCAGAGCCACGCAGGAAGCTGTCCGCAGGGAGAACAGCTGTGGAAATTTCACCGCTGCTTGCTTTCTGTGGGGAACAGGTTTTTCTCAGCCCTGGTTTTTCTTTTGGAAATTTCTAACTGGAATTTTAACGGTGCAACTCCTTGCATCGGCGCACACAGAAAGGACGGGGGCAGCCCTAAGCTGGCCCTGCCAGGGTCCGTGCCGGGTCCTGGCTGCCTCGCGGGGTGGCACAGCAGCCCCTTGCTGCTCGAGGCAGCGCGTGGCAGTGCAGGCAGCACTCGTGGGCCTCCCTGCGTGCAGGCGCATCCTGACCTTTGCACGGACGCCCTGTTTGCATGATGCAAGATGTTAAATCTTGCCTTAATGTGACTGCCAAACACCAGATTTTGTGAAGTGTGCCGGGCACTTCCCCATAAATAAATGATGGAGCATTATTCAGTCCACTTAGATCAATACATCAGCTTGACAAGTTCCAGTTCTGGGAATTTTCTGACCCCTGGACCATCTTCCTGCAACTGTGCTGCTTGTAAACTGCAGCAGTGCAGCCCAAACAAGCGCCTGCTCCCGGGGCCCGGCGGGATGGCTCCGTGCTTGGACTGCCCCAGGCTGTCGCAACCTGCAGAGGTGCCACTCGGGCCTTTCCTTGGGATGCTTCCCTCTCTGGTGGTGAGTCCCTGCCTCCCAGCTGGGGTGTTTTGCTGGTGCTGGGTACCAGGGAGCAGGGAGCTCCCGGGGGTCGGCACCCACTGCAACAGGAGTGGGAGCTCGGCCCTCTGTGCTTTATTTTGGAGCCTGCCCGGATGCTGCAGTGGGTAAAACTGAGTAAAACGGGGTGCATTGGCCCCCAGCATCCCTGTGTTCCAGGCTCCAGTACCTCCCGTCTTGTCCCCGCTGCCGATTCCCCATGTGGGGTTTTCTGCAGGTTATCCAAGGCACAGGTTACCTAAGGACTTGCCTCCCATGCTGGCACTTGGGCAGGGTATGGATTATCTGTGGTGCTGCCTATATGCATGAAAATACAGTACGTTTCCTAATCCCCCGCTGCTGTTAGCTCGCATTTATCAGCAGAGCATCTGCTTACCTTTGATTTGAGAGCCCTGCATCGGGGACCTGGGGAAGTGCTTGTCTGCGAACTGCTGCGTATGCCTATGGGACTGTGTAAGCAAATAAATATAATTAATAATAATCTGACTTCAGAGGAGCGTTGGCAGGGAGGTAAACACAGAATTACAAACAAAAGTGGGAAAAAAAGGGAGACCTTCCTATGAGCTGGTGTGAATGAGTGGAAGTAATTGTGCTCAGGCTGCTTGCAAATCATTTTGTAAAAATAATATTGCTAGTTCTCAGCAGCTCAGCGTGGCTATGCTTGCTTTTTCATTCAGATTTTTGACCAAAAGCGTTTAAAAATAGCTTTTATAAAGATCCCTGTGTTTTTATCAATTGGAAAGTAGACATAAAAAGATGCCTAGGGGTCTTGTCCCCTTTCATGTTGTGCCTGGAGGGGAGCAACGCAGCACCTGCAGCCTGGGCTGCAACTAGAGCGACAAACTAGTGTTTCGTGGTGTTTTTAAAAACCTTTGGCTTCCAAGTGACTGGAGCTGTATCCGATTTTCTCCCGGTTTGCCGAGGGGATAAGGGCTGACCCGGATGCGCCCGCTCCGGGTGGTGGTGATGGAGCGGGCGCCGCCATGACCCTGCCGCCCGCGAGCCCCGTGTTGGGCAGCGCCGGGCGCTTTCTGTCTTGCTTTAACAGTCAGAAGAAGAACTTTGCTGTTTAAAGATTAAACGTTGTGTTTAAATATTAAACAGCAAAGCTCCTCTCTCTTGATTGTGTGGCTGCTGCCGGCAGGCGGCTCAGAATTGCCAATTTTAATTAAAAAGCTTTATTTTCAAATGCAAGGCAGCGATGGCACATCTCGGTGTGCTTCTCCCGCGGCAGCTCTGGGTTTCTGCCCCTGTGCGCCCGCATCTGCATCTGCCTGTGCCAAAGTGACGGTGTCCGCGAGGCACCGAGTGCGAGCGGCCTCGCCGGGGACTGATCAATGCCCCTGGCACTTCCTTCCAAAACCCCAGGAAAAACAATTAAAACCCAATCGATCCTGCAGACAGCTTTGAATATGCATAAGTGCACACTTGACCTTCAGTGGTCAGGGCAGCCTGCACAGCGGCTGCTTAGCGAGTTTGCTCAGGTATTGCGGCTCTACCAAATGACCTTGATTAGCAAAGCAGGAGGCCATGGAAAGAGGGCCCGGCGCCGATGCGGACGGCCGGAGCACGTGTCAGGGGCTGGCTGCCTTCCTCGGCCACCCCAAGGCTGTGTCTGCCTGTGTGGGGCTTGGGGCCGCGAGCCCAGTTCACCTGGGGCAGGGCCACTCTTGAGCTGAGGCGCCGATACTCGATATTTGAGGGATGCCCTCGTGCTGCGGGGCCTGCGCAGGGCGCTCCGCAAGGGCTGCAGGCCGGAGCGGAGCCATCGCCCTCGCAGCCGGGGCGAGTGTCCCTGCGCATCGAGCCCTGCCCGTGTCCCAGCCCGGCCCCGATGGGCACGCGGTGCAGGGGGACACGCGGGGC